AACTGAGACACGTCCATGTCCCCCCCCGCTATATCCCATCCCCCGGCAACCCCCAGAACTGAGACACGTCCATGTCCCCCCCCGCTATATCCCATCCCCCGGGAACCCCCAGAACCGAGACACGTCCCAGCCCCCAGGGGTCCCTCTCCTTGAATTGCTACTAGCCCTGGAAACCAGACACCGGGCCCAGGAGCCAGAAATATCCCTGGCCGAGCCGGGCCTGGGCGGGGCTGGCCGCGGGGGCCGCGCTGGTTATTTTTACAGCTCTGCCTGGCACAGGGTGTCCCAGCCCCACGTCTGCCCCTGGGGACGGCTGGCTCTGGGCCCCGAGCAGCCCCATGGCAGCAGTGTGTGTCTGGGGGGGGGGGGGGGGCTATGCCTCCGTCGAGGCTGCCTGGAAACAGCCCAGCGGAACAGCTGCCCCAGCTGTCAGGCGCTGAACGGGCCTGGCGTGCGCCCCACTCGGGGTGGGGGGGCCGGAGCATGTCGGGAGTGGTGACGTGTGTGAGAGAGCTTTGCAGCGCTGCGAGCTTCCCCGCAGCAGTGCCTCCAAGCCAGGGACCCTGGGGCTGCGAGCTTCCCCACAGCAGTGCCCTCAAGCCAGGGACCCCGGAGCTGTGAGCTTCCCTCCAGCAGTGCCCTCAAGCTGGTGTCTCTGGTGCTGCCAGCTTCCCCAGGCAGGGAACCCAGCACTGCCAGCTCCCCCACAGCAGTGCCCCGAAGCCGGGGACCCTGACACTGCGAGCTTCCCCACAGCAGTGCCTCCAGCCGGGGACCCCATTGCTGTGAACTTCCTCACAGCAGTGCCTCCAGCCAGGGACCCCAGCGCTGCGAGCTTCCCCACAGCAGTGTCCAGCCAGGCCCTCTGAGCTGTGCAGGGCGCTGAAGGGGTTAACGGCCCATGTGTGTCGGGAGCCCCCTCCCCCTGAAATCTGACATTCCCTGCCCAGGAATCCTGGAGCCGCAAGGCAGAGAGGGAGAGACACCCAGAGAGGGGAAGGGGTGAGTGAAAGGGAGGGGAAGTGGGCTGGGACCCCTCCACCAGCGCCACCTCCCCCCCCCCCGCATGTTGCCAGTTGACGGTCCCAGCTGGGGAGGAGTGGGGTGTGGGGGAGGACAGGGGGGGATTCAGGAGCATTGGAGGGCTGGGAGGAGAGGGGTGGGGGTAGGAATTGGAGGGGGCTCAGAGGACGGGGTGCGGGGAGGGGAAGGGGAGAATTGGGGCACGGGGAGTGCAGAGATGGGAATTGGGGGTGGGCAGAGGGGGGCTGAGCACAGGGCCGGGGGGGGGGTTGGGAGACAAGTCTGCACAGCTGCTGGGAGAGAGGAGGGGTTTCCATGGGGTGGGGAGAGGCGGGGGGGGCAGAGAAGACAGGAGGGAAGGGGGGTGCCAGGGTCGAGAGGGAGCAGGCAGGATAGGGGGAGAAACCCACCCATGACCCTTCCCCCATTGCTGCCGCCCCCAGGGCGCTGGCGGGTCCTGGCCCCCACACCCATCTCCCCTTCTGCCGTTATTTTCCCTTCTTCCTGGCCAGGGCAAGTGCCTGGAAAATCCAGGCGCGGATGCCAGGAGTGGGGTGGAGCGGGCGGGGGTGGAAGGAGGGGGGCAGGGCCAGAGGGGGACTGAGGGGAGGGGACAGGGCCGGGAAGCCCATTCTCTGTCCCTACCCCCCCCCTTTTCCAGTTTCTCACCCCGAATCAACCCTGGTCCTGGCTGGGGGGAGATGTGACTGGGGGGGGGTGGACACTCCAGAGAGAGGAGAGGGAAGACCAGGGGGCAGATCCCTGGGGGGTCCAGAGCAGAGGCCAATGGGGAGGGGGCAGCGTTTCCAGGCAGGGAGCCAGCCCCAGTTGCAAGGTGCCCCAGGGCCCAGGTCTTATAGGGGCGCCCGAGACATTTACCCTGCTGCTGGGGGGGGGGGGAGCAGCCCCCATGTGGAGCCAGCATCCCCCCCCACAGAAAAGGGCAAGGCCTATCCCACTAAGGTGGGGACTTGGGTCCCCGCATCTGGGCCCTGCTGCCATAGAGGGAGACACCACGGCGACCCCTAGCGACGCCAGGCAGGCCCTTGGCAATGTCATGGTAGCCCCGAGCGACACCGCGGCGACCCCTGGCGACGCCAGCAAGGCCCTTGGCAATGTCATGGTAGCCCCGAGCGACACTGCGGCGACCCCTGGTGACGCCAGCAAGGCCCTTGGCAATGTCACGGTAGCCCCGAGCGACACCGCGGCGACCCCTGGCGACGCCAGCAAGGTCCTTGGCAATGTCACGGTAGCCCCGAGCGACACCGCGGCGACCCCTGGCGACGCCAGCAAGGCCCTTGGCAATGCCACAGCGACCCCTAGCGACCCCGGTGCAGCCCTTGGCAATGTCACAATAGCCTCTAGCGGCCCCATGGTGACCCCTAGGTGAGGGAGGTGGGAGATGGTGGAAGCTGGGTGCCCCTGACCCCGGTACCGGTACCGCCCTGACAGCCCCCACCCCGGTGACAGGCGGGCGGGGGGGACCCGATGCAGGAGCCAGGCGCATCGGCCTCCTGGCTGGGGCTGGTCCGTGGCGCGGCTCCATCTTCCCTAACTGCTAACACATGTTCCCCGCGCCGCCCGGCTCCACATCAGCGCCCGGCCCCCCCGCCAGCCGCCCCGCGCTGCAGCCCAGCTCTGTTGGGCCCCGGGCAGCGCCAGCCCCACAAGGTACCGGCTGTGGGGGGCTGGGAGGGCTGGAGCATGGTCTGGGGTTCCCTGTGCAGCTGGGGGGTTGTGGCAGGGCCATGGGGCTCCAGCTCACTGACCGGGGAGGGAGGCTGGAGGTTTGGCCGTGGGGGGTGCCTGGGGAGGGGACGCTAGTCTTACTGTGGGGGCCCAAGTGGGAGGGGGCCCAGGAGGGGGGTCCGGCTCCGGGGGGGGGGTCCCTGGAGGGCTGGGGGAGGGGTCGTCTGGGTAGGTCTCACCACCATCCCCCGCCCGTCCCCCCGCCCCCTCGCAGGTTGGACCATGTCGGAGATCTACAGTGAAGTGGCCGGGGACGAACCCCCCAGCGACAGCTTCTGGATGGTGAGCGGCCGGGGGAAGGGGGGTTCGGTCCCTGCAGTGGGGCTGGCTCTGCGGCTGGGGGGCGAAGATGGGGGGTCCAAGAGTTTGGGGGGGTCAGCGTAGGGGAAGGTTCCACCCCCCACCCTCCCCCGGGGTCGGGGCGACATGGGATTGGGGGGGTGAATTGGGTGGGGGGCTCCAGCTGGGTCTCGACCCCCCCAATGTCTGCTCCGCCCCCCCCAGCCAAACCGGTACCAGCGCACGGTGCGGCGGCTGGAGGAGGGGTCCCAGGTCTGCGACCAGCTGGTCGGCTGCTTCCGGGACCGGGCGCGAATCGAAGGCAGCTACGCCCGGCACATGGGGGCCTGGGTGCAGAAGTGGCGCCCCCTGGTGGATGCGAGTGAGTCCCCACCCCCTGCCCCCTACAGCGCGGTGCCCCCTACAGAGCCCCCCGCCCCAACCCCCTCAGCACAGAGCCCCCTACCGAGGCCCCCGCCCCACGCCCCTGCAGCCCGGCGCCCCCTACCGAGCCCGGCGCCCCCTACCGAGCCCCACGCCCCACGCCCC